ATATATATATAATATTATTAGTCTAAAATTTTAGCACATGCCCAAAAAAATTCCACCTGTTATAGTTCCATGACTCATCTAACCTCCATCCTACAGCTCTTTGTCTTTAATCACTAAAGTTAATTTTATGCCAGTAGGGTAAAACGATACACTATGCATTGTATAGAAACTCTGTATGAAATGTACATACGTAATAGTAGTTTGCATATTTTTCATTTAATACATAATTACTTGTAGCTATGCATACATTATCGGGACATTATTCAATTTCATGCCTGTAATTCTCACATTATTTTCATCATACTTACATTAATTACCATCTGTTATCCTGTACTAGCATGTGGGTTACAGCCCATGGTTACAGACAATTTCAAGGAATATGAAGTTCATAGCCTTGTTAAAAAGCAATGCCAGAATTGTTCTGATGGGCTGGGGAAAGGTGGTCCAATAGGGGGAGGGAAGAGAAGGGCATCCCCTAAAGAAACTGGGGAACATTTAGAACATCTTTAATACTACAATATGGCATATAATTGTATATTTGTTGAACTCAAATTGAATGGATATGTTGTATGTGCAATAGTAGTAAATTGATAGTGAATTTATACATACGGTACTGTATATGCATAAATTTCAAACTCGCAAATACTGTATTGAAATGCTGTCTAAACCAGAACTTAGAACTTTAACATCATACCTTTATTTTTAAGTAAGTGAAAACGTTAAGTATTTGTTTAGAAACGAATACACGCGGAAGTCTTAGATGCTTATTTCTGTTTGTGATCGTAAAGCAGTCTGACCTCGTTTCAAAACCTACATTTCCTGGCATTCAAGATAGGTGTACACTGGATTACGCCAATCCAATTGTCTAGTATTTCAAAATTAATACCAAGGGATGATGGAATTAAAGTGGCCTACCTCCAGTGACTGTAACCCAAATCCAACTGCTGCTAAATATTGTCATTCATTAGAGATTAAATGCTGGATGGAGCTATGAAATCTGCTGAACTTTGTTTAGTAATTTCAAATTTAACTCCAAATAAACAGCGCTGACATATGTCGGTGAATAATGTACCATCTGGAATAAACTAAACAAATTTATAGATAAAATTCAATAGCTGAATTGCTTATTTTGCATAATTATTAAATAATTTGGGCAACTGTGGTAGTCTAAACATAACCCCAACCTCACCATGGTTGGTGTTGAACTAAAAATATTAATGTCTGTGACACCACTAAATGGGATCTCAAAGTTATATTTCAATGTAATTGTCTTTCCCCTATTTTTCAATTTTCCAAAATTTAGGGGGTGGGGAGGAGTTGGTAAACACAAATTGAGCAAAATTTACAAATTTATTTTTGCTTCAGTTGCAGTAATAACAATAGTACTAATTATCATTTTTCTACTATTGTGGTATTGATGAGTATAAAAATTATAATTATGTTGGTCCATGCGGTCTTCATGCATCAGATGACAATATGGGTGTGTTTATGACATATGGCGCAATACAGTCAGACATATTGAAAACACCCATAATCAGTTTCATCAATTTAATAAACGACTAATATTTACATATTTATACATAAATAATAAGAATAACAACTGATTCCAATAATTGATGATTACCAGGGACTACAAAATATTAATATTAATAATTAATTATTAATAATATAATTTATACTTCTAGGTAAAACAAACAGTTAATAGAACTGCAGACTTTTTTAAACATTTTAAGAATTCAATAACACCCACTCCTGAATTTAAGGGGATAATTTTTCGGCCACTAAATGAAGGAAAGTAAATCTTTATGGCCAACCCATATTCAGGAGACACCCCTATTGGTTGTTTTTATTGACTTCATTTCTTTATTAACAAATAAAGAACAAAAAAAAACAACATTAAAATTGTCATGAAATCAAAGGATTGGAAAAAAAAATGATTTCTGTAATTCTATTAAAAATTGAAAAGGTTCATTCTAGCTATATTTAGCTTTCTGGGGTCTCAATCGAATCATGGATATATATTAGAATGTTTGGTGAAAGGGAAGTGGGGGCAGGTATCAAGTGTTTAATTAATCAAAGTGTATTTTCTTCAATTGGTAAAAGCGAGTCGAGATAGATCACCATAGTAATGAGATTAGTAATTGGTAAATTACTAATTTGATTTCAAGATAGTTTAAAGGAGACAGTTTCATGTGTCGCATCGGCCAGTTCTGATTTTCTTTGCATCAGGCAGGCTGTTACGACCTGCCAAATTTTACACATTTCAGACCTCGCGCTTGAAAACTGAAATTACAATCTATTGCCACAACTTCCGTTTTTTCACAAACAAGTGAGTTTACCTTCATAAACAATTTTTGTAATCTCAACCTCAAAAACAATGAAAAAACAAGAGAATCACTAGTCCTGCTAATGGCTTGTAATGAAATTTTAATTCTAATTACATATCTGTACTAATCTTATATTTTGCATGATTAGCACTTGCATATTAATAGAATGTTGAATAGATTTGTATTCAAACTGAAATAAATGATTTAATCGTTAAAATAATTTTAAACAATATAATTTTCAAAATTTTATAAAAAATAATTTTTACACACTAGCCTCTTCTTGGGCAAAAGCCCAGGCTATATTGTTAATGAGTAGCTTAGCTGACTTTTACAATACTCTAAAACAATAAATCAAATATTGGCATTGGCACTGCTTTTGACAAAGGGATTCTCCCAGTATAATCCCCCTGCGAAATCGACCTAATTTTGTGTTTAAAGGGGCGGGAGGTGGCTTATACAAGAGCAACTATGCTATGTTATTTCACGCCATAGCAATTTACTTGTCAATTACAGAAAAAAAAAAAATCATTCTCCCAAAATACAGTAACTTATCACCTACAATACAGAATAATCTGTGGTTTATTATAATAACAGAAAGTGACATTAAGTGAAGAAAAGTACTAGTAAACTATCGCATTTAATAAATTAAATCTTGCCTCTAGGTTATTGGAAGTTATCAGCTGATCAGAAAAGAAGTTTATTCAACCCATTCATTATTTTATTATATAACAGTGAGTAATGAACAGGCGTAATAGAGAGGATAGGTATATATTACAAAGGAATTAATGAGAGTAGATCTAAAAATAGTATGGCATTACTGGCGAAATTATTCAATTGAAAATAAAGATATGGATTAAAACAATAAGAAGCAGCTGTGTGGCTGGTTGATCAAAATTAAAAAGCCTTTTCCCATTGGATTAAATTTGATTATTATTATTAATATTATTATTATTAATATTATTATTATTTATTATTATTATTGATACAAAGGGGATCTTTACTATAATTGTACTGCTATTTGCACTAGGATTGAAGGCATAGGTTTTACAGAGATTGTAGAAAAATGTTTAGAATTATTGGTATATTGTATGGATAATATTGTACAACCTTGAATTTAAGCCTTGACCTCTTTTTTGCGAGCACTGAATGGGCTTCTATTTGAGGCTACTTTTGCAAAGTAAAGAGGGGGCAGCTTCTCAAAATTAATGCTGTAAATTTTGGGAATTACTACTATAATCTGTGTCATGGAGTGTATTTACCGGCGTTAAATCACCTAAACAACTGTATAAACCAAGCGTGTTTTAACTTGCATTGTTTTTTTCAAATTGTGTACAGTGTATGTACTTTACTGTCTTGAATAGGCTTCTTTTCGAGGGTACTTTTGCAAACTAAAGAGAGGGGCTTCAATTAAAAATGGGCTTCTCGAGATTAAGCCCATTGGGCTTGTATTCAAGGTTTTACGGTGTACTTCTAAATTTTATCACAGTTTCTGAGGATGGGCAGACAACTCTGCCTGATGTTACCATCAATATTGATGAGAGGCGGGCACAATATTTATTTGATTTATAACCCATCAAATACTCGCACCTAGGGCTGAAACATAGCGTGAGCCACTTCACAACCTGTCAATAGGTCAAGCTGGGGAGGGTAACTGAGCATGGCTGACGAGGTTCGGAACCTGAATGTAAAATGCGAGCAATTATAATACCAGATTTAGAATTCTCATTCCAAATTTCTGAAGATAAGAGTTATCTTATACCCAGTGCCACTGAGAGGGGGAGGGGGGTAGCAAGGGGAAAGATCCCTGGGGCCCAAACTCACCTGGGGCCCATAGAAATTGCAGGTAGCATTTTTTTTTCAATATTTTTTCAAAAATAATAATTACTATCATGGGCTCTCAATAATGGCATGGATCCCCTAATAATGGGCCCCACTAGATTGACAGGGGCTGGGCTCATAACGCACCAACCCTTGCTACTGTTACAGTTCCCCTCTTGGCGGCCCCGCTTATACTATTCTCCAGCAGGGGAAGGAATATGGAACTTACAGTTTACTGTATTTCTTTAAGAACAGTTGTTAGATAAACTACATAACCCAGGAAGACATTATTAGCATGAAATAATAATAGCACCTTACACAATTAATGTGCTAACCAGAAATGTAATTAAGTAATATATCTCTGCTGTAATTAAATACTTTCATATTATCAAAAATATATTCTGTGTTAAACATTAAGCTTTCCAATTATCATCTTAAAACATACTTTTTATTTTTGTAGTAACTACATATTAAGGTTATCACAAAGCAAAGGATTTAAACAATTATCCAGAAACCACTAATTGCAATGTTGTATAGCACTTCCAAATGTATTGGAACCAGATTGAGACAATATATATGTTGAAAACTTTGGCATTGCCTGCAAACATAAGGCTTCTGGAATGTGCAGAAGTATACATTACAGTGTGTTGAAAAAAGCAAAAACCAAAATGCTCTTAAAATTGGTGTTTATAGGCAACATTTTTGATCACCAAAAAAACACGAGGTAGCTCAGAAAGGACGGTCCCTGATCACAACTTATGAATTTTCACACACTCAATTCAAAATATAAATAATCCTTTTACTGAAGTTCATTAACCAACATCCATTACCATAAAATCGCTACACTCCGGTGATGCTGTTTGATTTGTTGAATCAGGAAAGCTTTTCCCATTGCTTCAGGGACATATATAGAGTAAAAACTGCAATGACAAAGCTATAGAAATGGTGTCCCAATGGCAGATGAAAAAAATTTAAATACAGGGGGCCCGGGAGGGAGTTCCTCAGATGGAGAGTCTAGATCAACTCAGCCCCACCATGGTTGGTGCTGAGGTAAGATAATTTATAATAATGGCACCTCTAAATTGCCGGAAATGGCATGCTCAGACTTAAATTTAAATATAATTTTCGTTCTTTTCTCCATTTTTTAAATAATATTTCCCCCACTGAATCAGCCACTGGTGTACTCATTTCATAGAAACACTTACTACAGATGATTCTTCAACAGAAACATTCACCCTGACTCATAGAAAGGCAGGGGATGTTCTCCCTCCCCAGTTAAGTGTGAATAAGGTAGCAAAACTCACATAAATCAAAAAAAGTTGGTATGAAATAACTCCTCCATTATGTTAAGATGATAAATCCTAGTTGAGAAAATATGTTTGTACTATCAGGATTTGAACCTCAACATTCCGATTACCATCAAGTTGCTTTAATAACCAACTCTGCCATACTGATATACAGTACTCTCTTGAGTTCTCCTCAGTACGGACAATGCATTGCTGTTAAAACAATATAGAAAAATGTATAGTATTGTCTACATCACGATTCAAAACCATGACTTCTGGTTACCATTAAGTTATTAACGAACTGAACTATGATGCCACTCCTGAATTTTCTCCGGGACTTTAATAAGTACAATTTATAAAAATGAATTTTCTGCATCAAAATTTGAAACCAAGACATTCTGATTATTATAATTTGGTTAAGTACGACCTGAAAACAGTGGTGGCACAAGCGGGGGGCAGGGAGGGCATTCCCCGGCCCCTTAGTTCAGATCCCGTGTCAGACATGTCAGACCCGTTGACAAATTTCTGGCACCACTACTGCTTGAGTATATCATATCAAACTTCACATAGAAATGAAACATTCAGAATAAAAGTAATCATTGAGTTGTTATGAGTTGGACAATGGCAGCAATAATCCTGCTTCCTCTCGGGCAGGTCATCAAGTCCATCGCAGGATCTTCAATTCTGTCCGTCAGAAGCAGATCAAGTTCGGAACGTAACTCTTGTATCATCTCACCAACCTGGTAATAAGGAAAATTTAAAATGGTCATGAAAACTATCTTATATAAAAAATAAGCAGTGGCATTGTTACAACAGTCTATAGTCGGCCATTCACTGCTGTTTATGACCGTCAAATCAACTCCGCTCCCTGTGAGCGAAACACGACATGATGCCGTCTGCAAATGGTCATTGAAAATGATCCGCTGCGTCTTTCGTGACATTGCCTTCTTCATAGAATCAGATGCCTTGCTTCACACAATTCTAATTGTAGGACAATGACATACAATTAGAATTATGAAAAAATTGAGACTGGTGTAACTATTGCCACTGCCTAAAAAATATAAATATATATACATTAAAATACTGAAAACAAAAGTGCTGGAGAATATATATATCTTTTACTGTTGTTAATTATCATCATCCTTCAAGCCACTGTTGCGGCCATTTTTATCTTCATCATCACCATCACTACCATTATCTTCATCATCAACAACAACGTCACCATCCTCATCAAGTTTCATAGCATTTATGTTATCAGTTATTTCAAGCACTAATCTATTAATATGATACCATACATCGCCACTATCATTAACTAGTGTTTACTGAGCCAGCCTAGAACAGACAATAGGTTGGGCTGTTGAACTTTACCTTTATCTCATCATGCACTGATAGAAGAATATACTCAAACTCAATTTGCTTCTTTCTATTCTTAATCTATCAAATTTAACGCAAATAAACCAATAAAGGACAATCCCTCAATTGTGGTCAAAATATTTCTGTGTCAACCAGCAAACCAACGCAAACAATCAACGAAACCAAGTAGCATTATTAAAAAGCGAACAATGCAACAGTCAATGTTACTCAAATTGGCGGGGAGTTGTATGTGCCCAACATACAAAAATAGTCCAAATATCATCTCAAACTTGGGAGTCCTCTTATATGAGGATTGCATAGTTACAGATGGTAAAATAACCCAAACAGAAGACAATATATGCAAAGATTATACATGTAGTATATTTAAAACATACTGTATTCTACATTATTAAGTGAAGAAAAAAACTTTTATATATAATTAAGGTGACAATATATACTGCAAAAAAGTTTAATTACAACAATAAATAATTGCATATTTTAAAAAATAGAAGGAAAGTTACAACTCACAATTTTGCTCACTACACCAAATGCCACGGTAAACAGCAATTCCAAGTTTGACAAATTCAACAGAGTAAGACTTATTTGTGAATTTTCTTTCCTTTAGTTAATCCAGAATAAATTTATTTCCTATGAGGATATGGGCATGCTCCAACGGAATGTTTTTTCCCTAGATGCCCAGACGTATATATACATACTCAAACATCTCTAAATAACTTAAAATATTAAAAAAATTTCCAGTTTTTTTTTAGTCCTCTGTGTGCAACCAAGTTTTTGTCCTTAAACCTCACCTACTCAGGCGAATCCTGGCTAAACAACTGATGAGGATGATTGATTTTATCCCAATGGACTTTTTGCTAAGGTTCGACAAAACGAAAGCATAAGCGTATATAAACATATGCGTTTGTAGAACATGTGCGTATTTCTAGCACGCTTTCAGACTGGTGAGTTTTGTTTATCACTCCGAAAAATTCCGGGTTTCTGGGTGTTTCTGTCTCATTAAAGTAAAAGAATGCAGTAAGGGGACAAAAATATTTCTTATTACTAGAAATTGCAAATTGCAAGTGAAGTGCTGCGAAGTACAACTGC